GCCGGTTACCCCTGCCTTACGGATACCACGTGGACAGTGACGGGTCGTTCAACAAAGATAGTGGTCAGAGGTCTAGTCAGGAAAAGAGTTTGTGGCCCGTGGTGCACTCGTTCCGCAGTCGATATTACCACCACTCCCTCTTCGCAAAGGTATTTCTACCGTTCTCATCTCATACATCCTCAGTGTATCGCTGAACCATTTACAACACATTACAATGGTGCTAACACGCCCATTCACACATTTCATTCACGCATGCAATAATCATGTTTACACACGGTACATGGCCCACATTGCATTCAAATACGCGGCACTAGGCCCATATTCATTTCACATCACAGGCACATAGTCAATATTCATCTATCATGCCACATTTACATACAATCCACATCCATAAAGTTTAGGTCAACACATATAATGTTCACATATTACGGCACATGGCCCACATTACATTTCTCAGTAATTTTCTACCTCCTAACTCAGCCATAACACAATATTAAGCAAAATAACAATTCATTGCACAAAAGAGAAGGATAGAGACCCCCCCTTACCTTGGATTGACGTTCCACACGCTAAATTCATTAGGAAGCGCTCCTCCTCACGGATTTCATCCTAAACACATGGAGAAACTCCATGAAAACCTAAGGAAATCACGAAAACGGAAAAAGGGAATGAAAAACTGAAATCCTAACCATTAAAACTTACCTCTAAGCGTTCCCCACATAGATTCAACCTTCAATCAAGCTCTCGAACGGCTTTGGAGGCAATTTCATCGAGGGAAAAGGGCTTTGGGCATGAGAGGATCGAAGAAAGAGGGAGAAATAACCCTCTCCGAACCCTAACTCCCTTTAAATTCCTTTCTGGTTGCGATACTCTTGATACAGCGAGATATTCTCACTGCAGCGAGGTCCCCTCGCTGTAGCGACACGCCCTCTCGCTACAGCAAAAAAAAACTAGATAAAACTGCACTCCAGTTTCTGCAGAATCTCGCTACAGCGAGACTACACCCAGAAATGCACCCCAAACTGTCGCTCTATCACTACAGCGAGACGTCTCTCGCTATAGCGAGAATGCGACAATTCTGGTCCTTCCTCCCAGGGCCCTCTCGCTACAGCGAGAACAGCTCAGTGTTACGCCCTGCACTTAGGCACTTAGCCCATTTTCAACCTATCCAGTCATACATACACACATATACACACATTCGTGTACTTAATACACATAAAACATCATTTTTAAATAAATCAACACACATATGAATATATATATATATATATATATATATATATATATATATATATAAGAATAATAATAATTAATATTACCAAAATTCAGAGCGTTACAAAAAAGATTAGTGGGAATGGTTACAAATATACACTGGGATATAAGTATCAGAGTAGTTCATCCAAACTGGACTGGGGTATCGGGCTAAAGCGTCGAAGGTAAGTGTTGATTGCTTTATTTACCTGAACTATAAATGTATTATTGATTTGATGTGCTAGACTTTGACTATTAAATTATGTAGCTTAGATATGTCTGGTAGAGGTAGAGGTAGAGGAGCTAGAGGCACCAATGACCTCATGGAAAGCATGGCTCAGATTCTGGAAGCCATGGTACACAATCAAGGTGGAGAGCCGACTGAGTATCGAGGGTTGTCTTCCTTCACTAGGCATGATCCTTCAAAGTTTGAGGGTGGATTCAATCTCGAAAGAGCCAAAAGGTGGGTGGCTGATGTGGAGAAGATCTTCAATGCAATGGAGTGCTGTGAGGAGAACACAGTTGTCTATACCACCTATTTGCTGTGTGGGGAGGCTGAGGACTGGTGGAGGTTTTCTGGTCAGACTCTGCCACAGGAGGATGGCTACATTCAGTAGGAAGCATTCAAGACCATTTTCCTGGGAAACTACTTTCCCCAGGACCTACGGAAGCAAAAAGCTAGGAAGTTCCTTGAGCTAAAACAAGGAAGTATGACCGTGGAGGAGTATGTAGCTAAGTTCCAAGAGTTGATAAAATATTGGCCTCACTGTCAGCATGGTGATGGAGAGGAGGATTTGTATGCTCAATTTGAGCATGGATTAAAGTCAAACATTCGGGCTGCAGTCAGTGTGTTTCAACTGACAGACTTGATCTTGACTCGGTTCAAGTAAGAGAAGAGTTGTCTTATGATGTGTACCCGGTGAGGATTGCGGATCACCGTATTAAATAGCTGAGGGGTAAAGAGATATCATTGGTGAAGGTAATATGGAGCTCAAGCGATGAGGGAGATGCCACATGGGAAACGGATAGTAGAATGAGAGAATTATATCCAGGTTTATTCTTGTAACTAGTATGTGTTGGATTGAATTTCAGAGACGAAATTCCTTAAAGGTGGCGAGAGTTATAACGCCCTGAATTTTGGTAATATTAATTATTATTATTCTTATATATATATATATATATATATATATATATATATATATATATATATATTCATATGTGTGTTGATTTATTTGAAAATGATGTTTTATGTGTATTAAGTACACGGATGTGGATATATATGTGTATGTATGACTGTAGCGAGAGGGCTCTGGGAGGAAGGACCAGAATTGTCGCCTTCTCGCTATAGCGAGAGACGTCTCGCTGTAGCAACAGAACGACAGTTTTGGATGTATTTCTGGGTGCAGTCTCGCTGTAGCGAGATTCTGCAGAAACTAGAGTGCAGTTTTATCTAGTTTTTTTTGTTGTAGCAAGACGGCATGTCGCTGTAGTGGGGGGACCTCGCTACAGTGAGAATATCTCGCTGTAGCGTGAGTGTCGTGACCGAAAAGGGATTTAAAGGGAGTTAGGGTTCGGAGAGAGTTATTTCTCCCTTTTCCTTCGATCCTCTCATGCCCAAAGCCCTTTTTCACCGATTAAATTGCCTCCAAAGTCGTTCAGGAGCTTGATTGAAGGTTGAATCTGTATGGAGAACACTTAGAGGTAAGTTTTAATGGTTAGGATTTTGGTTTTTCATTCCCTTTCTCCGTTTTCGTGGTTTCCTTAGGTTTTCATGGAGTTTCTCCATGTGTTTAGGACGAAATCCGTGAGGAGGAGCGCTTCCTAGTGGATTTAGCGTGTGGGACGTCAATCCAAGGTAAGGGGGTCTCTATCCTTCTCTTTTGTGCAATGAATTGTTGTTATTTTGCTTAATATTGTGTTGTGGCTAAGTTAAGGGGTAGAAAATTACTGAGAAATGTAATGTGGGCCATGTGCCGTGATATGTGAACATTATGTGTGTTGACCCGAACTTTATGGATGTTGATTGTATGTAAATGTGGCATGATAGATGAATATTGGCTATGTGACGTGTGATGTGAAATGAATATGGGCCGTGTGCCGTGTATTTGAATGCAATATGGGTCGTGTGCCGGTGTAAGCATGATTATTGCATGCGTGAATGAAATGTGTGAATGGGCGTGTTAGCGCCATTGTAATGTGTTGTGAATGGTTCAGCGATACACTGAGGATGTGGGAGATGAGGACGGTAGAAATACCTTTGCGAAGAGGGAGTGGTGGTAATATCGACTGCGGAACGGGTGCACCACGGGCCACAAACTCTTTTCCTGACTAGACCTCTGACCACTATCTTTGTTGAACGACCCGTCACTGTCCACATGGTATTCGTGAGGTGAGAGTAACCGGCGACCATTCATGGTGTAAATCTGTGATCACAATACTATAGTGAGTGTGGTTGGTATGCGTATGCATGGATTTGTGTTTTGTACTTATGGATGTGAATTGTTGCTTGTGATTGTATATGTTGAATGTATTGGGAAGGTTCTGGAGGTGAGACTCTATGTTGAATGTGTTTTGGCTAGTGTAGAGTACTTACCCTTACATTCATTTTTCAGGTAATCAAGACGATCAGCACCAGACTCAGTGAAGGGATAGATGGACTGCTATAGGACTTAGTTTTTATCTTAAAATTTGTTGTAACTAAAATAGTCTTGTAGCAGTCATTTGATATTAATTTGTAACCCTTCCCTTATTTTGAAGTATTTTATGAAAATTAGTTATTTGAATTTGTGAAATTCTTATTAAATTGAAATTAAATTTAAGGTGTTACATTGGGTATCTTTTTATTTTCACAATTTGAATAAATAAAATAAAAGTTTAAATTTTTCATTAATTTTCACATTATAAGTGTAAAGAAATTCACATTATTTTCTATCTTCAATATAAATTATAACACAAATTAAAATATTAAAATATTAATTAAGCACATCACATCTGTCATTTCCTCTGTTACGATATCTAAAACATGAGGCACTTTCCCATCCAGAGTGGCAACAAGCTATGATTGACAAGATGCAGCCCTTAGAATCCAACCAAACTTAGACACTTGTTCCATATAAATCTCTTTCACTAGTTTTCCATGGAGAAATGCATTTTTTATATCTAGTTGATAGTGTGGCCAACAACGTATGGAAGTCATGGATAAGAAGAGGCAAACTGAGGTCATCTTTGCAATAGGTAAGAAGGTGTCACTATAATCAAGCCCCAAATTTTGTGTGTAGCCTAATGCTGACTTCGAAGGATACGTTTAGCCTAGTCATAGTAAGGAAATTCAACTTTTCGACTAATTTTTTATATTTGTTTGAATATGAATACAACTCTTGATTCAACATAAGCTTGATATTTAGATTCACAAGGGTATTAATTGGCTTACAATCCAACATTCATGTTTCCTTTGAAATATCAAGAGCATATTTTCTTGAGATATAACACTAATTTTTTATTGAACTACTTTAATCTCAAGGATATATCACAATGGATCCCAAGTCCTTGGTTTGGAAATGTTGAAGCAAATGCTGCTTGAGTTGGGTGATATCATCATGATCATTGCTTGTGATAATAATGTCATTTATAAGAATTGCTGAATGAAAATGAGTAAACTTAGATTTTACCCTAATTAGTTTGTGTGCTTCTCTCTCTCAAGTCAGTTCATTAAAAAAAAACAATAGCATTTTGCAACAAGGGACTAATTTAAAAAGTGAAATGCAATATAAAAATCAAACATTGGCAATTCACTTTGCAGGAAAAGAAAGATTGTACATGGAAGCTTATTCAACATATATGTGCTGTTCTCTTTACATTCTTCTTCGGAAGGTAAAAGTAGTTTATCTATGTACTAAAGAGGCCTGTGAAAACTAAACAAACGCACATAAGAACCGAGAGGTCGCATAATTTCCAGATGGCATCTTCTACGAATCTTCTAGACAATAGGCTCATCTTCAAGATAATTGTATTCAAAAGTGAATTCAGTCTTGATTCTTTGACACCTGAGAATAACCACATCAAGGCACAGATGAATCAGAAAAGTCCTGATTCAAATACCAACACAATCAACCATTTCATGGACTGAACCATCAAAGGGACAAGAAGAAAATCAATAGGGTTGTTTTAAATTAAATTGAGACTAGACAAATCAGGGCAAACAGAACCATAGCATAAAAAATCAACAAAACCAACCATTTCAATTATTTCACAGGCGGAATAAGAGAAGGGAAAACTTGAAAATACAATAAACAGGATTGTTTTAAAATATATTGAGTAAATGTCTATCAGCCCTTCAAAGATATATGTGATATCACATTAACCCTTCATTTTATCCTCAACAACGAATTGGACCTTCAATGATAATCAAATATGAAAATGGACAATTGCTCAAATTTTTAGAAGATGGCTATCCCTGATCTTTCTATAAATTGAGTGAATGCACGTAGCAGGATTGAAGGACCAATTCAGGAAGTGGGAGAGGAGACAAGAGGATTCTGTTATACAGTAAGGAAAGGAGGGATAAAAAGGATTCCGGGGGAATCTACTTTGTTATTTTGTTTTCTATTTCAATTTCCATCGTGTATTTCCTGTTTTCTTTCCTGCAAATTTAGAATATTATCTTTGAGCTTCTTAAGAGTTAGTCTACAGTATCCATTTCTGTAATATATATCTCAGTCCTTAACAGACACTTTGACTGCAAATTGTAGGAATTATAAGTTCACTATGCATACCACCCATGTTGCAGATCATCATTTGCAATATGGAAATCAAAGTACACATATGTGCCCTGCTCATATTCATCTGTTGCAACTTTTGGCTCTTCGTGCCGCTGAAACCATGTGTTATACTTTCGGTGATATCTCCAAGACTGCTTCTTTAACTCTTTTGCAGCCAAATATTGTTGGTAAGTGTTCTGCAGAAAAAAATATACGTAAGCTTACATGATTGAATGAAAGTAATACTACTCGCACAAAATGTCCATATGTACCTGTTGATAATAAAATGCAAAGAACAGGGTATCAGTGCCAAACGTCTCGAGACCTACTCTTTCCCAAAAGCCAGGATTATTAATAAAGGGTGCCTGTACTTGAGGATAACTAGGAGGAGTTATCGCTGGGTGTCTCTGCATAACAAAAAATTAAGGGAGAAAAATGATCTTACGATCTTGCAATAGATAAGTCAACAAACATGATTAATAAAACCATAAAAGCATACAGGAGTATAGGTCCTTGGACGCTCTGAGTCCTTGGATTCTGGCATTTTGCGGTGAGCTGCCTCAAGCATCTGCAGATTATATAATTGATCGTGCACTCCACCAGAATTAGTAATTGATCCACTAAAGTTGTCAACAACAGCTCCAAGGTCAGCAAAACTTCTTCCTATAACTCCAAGGTTACCAGTACGTTGATTCAACTGTAAAGGTTGTCCAGGAGACAAATCAATATCTCTAGAAGTCTGAGCAGGCTCAGGAAGAGAGGCTGGTACTCCTGCCTGCAGCATAAACAACAAACAAACAACTTGAATCATCCATGAATAAACTTTATATATACAATATACCCATTACAATAAGTCTATAAGTCAGATCAACCCAACCCCATATATCCTATATCAATCTAACTGCTTAAAGAACTACTATTGAGTAACTCTTCAGACTTTCAAATTTCAAATCAGATATTATCTATAATTAAATATTATTGTTAGGATCCCAATTGTGAGATATGGGTCTTGAGTCCCACATTGGAAGTATGGGATTTTAGTGTAGGGTTTCCAAGGCCTTAGGTTATCCACCTATAGTGACTAGCTTTTGTGATGTGGTTCTCCCAATCCACCATGTCTTCCAATTGCAAATGAGCTGCACAGGTGGTGACACTGTCATTGCAAAGTCGGCCATACCTGCATCATGTGTGGTCTGAGTCCTTCAAATTCAAATATATTTACACATTTTACATACCCAAGCTTAGGTGTTTAATAATGGTCAGGAGTCAGTTTAGTTTTTCTATCTGTCATCTTTGGTCCATCTCTTTTTGTCACCTAATCTAAAGTCATACTAGGTTGGCTGACCCATTGGCCTTTCCAGGTTATGATACTAGGATTTAGTGATACAAAATCAGATGTATGACAAGCCAAATTCTAGCAGAAACAGTGTGCAAGTATGTGTACGCGTGTATGCATAATGCATGTGAAAATATATGCTTCAGCAAGTTGTAAGTTGTAACAGAAAATGATAAGATAGTGTATCTTAAAGAATATAAGCCTGTGAGTTAGTCAGCATACGGGAGAATCTGCTGCGTAAGTGGATTTCAATTCATCTTCATTCATGAAATTCTTGCCAATTCCAGTACTAGAAGTAGTTTCAGTCCCAGAATCGTCAGGAAAAATCTGTTGTTGCTGCAGTTCTTCAACCTTAGAATTGCCAACATCTGCAGAATATAGAAACTATGATACACCCCATCTTTCACAATATTAATATCAATCTCGGTACATATTTCTAATCTTAAGTAGATATTATACCCAAAGTAAAGTTGCACCCATTTATTCACCCTGCTATTACTTCTTCTATCAGCAGAACAACAGTTTAAAAATTAGATTCAAAGCCCTACTAATCAAGAAGTGCAGTTATTCATGCTAGACTTACCAAAACAACCTGGTAGAAAAATAGAAAATTTCATGACATCGACGTAGAAAAATAGACTCACTAATCCTAACTATATAAGGAAGCAAATCACTAAAAATATGAAAACCACTTCTAAAAAAATTATCTAAGTTACAATAATGATATTATGAGTTTTTTAAAAATATTCCACACTATTCTTTAAGCTAAAACTTACCATGCTATAGGCTTACTAGAATTATAACACTAATAGAAAATAAACTAAAATTATAATAAAGTTGCACATGACAACATCTTGGACTGTAGATAAAGCCAAACTACATCTGGAACTGGACAGAGCCCGGTTGCAATTAGGAATATGACAGGGTCAGAATGCATTTGGGACAAACCAACAAAGATGAAATTAGTGTTAGTCATAGCCATCATAAGTCACCACCAAAATGATCACTATGAGAAGTCACCACCATGATTCATTAGTGCAAAAGGGCAACATGACAAACAATTTCTAACTTGATAAACCCTTTAATGCTATGTTAGCATTGGTAAAGAGCCATACGGTAGCCAATCAATAACAATAAAGAGCTAAGCTAACCACTAAACACCAAGAAACAGCTCTACAGGTCAAAACCTAACATGGATAAAGAGAAAATACAAAAGAGCTAAGCTAACCACTAACCATCAAACACATAATGTCACAGCTTAAGGGAGCCAAAATAGCCAAGGGAAGGTGGCTAATGGAGGTGATGGGCTTGACTTGACTGATGGTGGGGCAAGGCACACAAGGGCATAGGTGGAAGTGGAACAAATAGGGACAGCACGCACATGAGAAAGGTTGGCTGGATAGGCTCTGGTGAGCAGTTGGATGAGGAGATAACAGGTAGAGGTGACAACGGTAAAGAATGTAGTCAAGTGCTGTCATGCACTAGAGAAGCTAATGAACCTGGGAGCTTGAGATGGCCTGTGGCAGTTTTGGTGAAATAAAAGACATGGTTCAGTGTCCATAATTTGTTCACACCCAACAAGAAGTAAATCATTGTGGAAATAAGGTGGAGCTCCATATTCTATGGAACATGGAAGTAGAATAGTGACAGGGAAAGTCATGGAGGATGGTACTGCTTTTATAATATGTTAGAATTGAGAAGATTGGCCTAACTGAATCCTGAAATCTAGCTATGGCTAATCCTAAATGGTTGCCGTACTAGTAGTGGGCACACATCTTGTACCATTTATTGGATACAATTACATGAGTACATACACAATACACACAGTATCTGAAAGGGGTTCGTGATTGACATCTAGAGTATGAAATTTACATGACTAGACACTTGTAGGGCATCCAACATCTGAACAAAGAAAGGTTCTAATAACGTATTATGAATCAATTCTCTCAAAAGCTTGAACTATTAGGTGAGGATACAAGCATGATTTTATACTGCTGAGAATAATTGTAAATAAATAAAGAATATTTATTTATTACTTAGATTGTGTTATTTGCAGTTATATGTAATAGAATATTTTGTAATTATTACCTAGTTACTATAAATAAAGTACTCAGCTGTGCATCAAACACACGGATTTCTCTCAACATCTCTCAATTCCTTCTCTTTCAAAATGGTATTTAGAGCCTGATGAAAGGCAACCTTATTCCATGATTACCTAGTGGACCTGCTGCTCATTGGTTCTTGTTTTTTTTGGACACCTTATTTCATCATCTAAGGTTTCTGTTCTTCTTTGCTTTTTTACTTTGTTTTCAACTTTCTGTCATCTTCCTTTTTCCAGCAAGTCTCATCACTGTTCACTGCCAGCCTCCATTTTTTTTCTTGTCACCAACCTTGGGATCAGAACCATCTCCCCAAGATTGGCCTAACCCTGAAATTTGGAAAACTTCGAACCACACATGTGCTCAGACTCATTAGTGCAACCAGTAAAACTCTTTGGCCACACAGCCAGACTTGTCCTGTTAGGGTTCAGAGATACAATCAAGATGAGGATTGAAGAAAAATGATGATTTTATTGATCACTAAAAAGAATTATTATTACAAAAGAATCCCCCAAAGCTTACAACTCCTGAACAGAGAATCTCCACAAAACAATTAACACAACCAATAATGCCTCAATCAAGAAACTAACCAATAAACCTCATGCTCATATCCCTCCAATCCACCATCACAGTGCCCAAAGTCTTAAGCCACGTGACCCCAAGATGACATCTAAACCACCCAAATCTAACACCTGCATCTAAATGATCTAATGTCATCTCATTGCCAAATAGCTGTAGGGGAATCTGAGAACATTATCCTCTAGTACGCACTATATGACCATCTCCCAACTGGGCCTTGAGTTTGGGCTCTTCACTCACCTTCAGCCCCAAAGAAAGGACAACTTGGGGAGCCACAAAGTTCTCACTTGCTCCACTATCCACAGGGATAACCGTGGGCACACCACCTATCGGCCCATTCAATTTTATGGTTTTTGTCCCATTTGAGCTTCCACCCACAAGGCCTAAGAAGCCCATCACCTTGCACTCTAGTTCTATTCCATCCACTGCAGATCCATCAACCTTTATGGCCTCCAAGGCTTCATCTTCCTTCCTCTCCTCATCCTCCACTAGAACTGTCAAAATAACCAAGGTAATGAGTCTCTAGCAACTTTGGAACCTACGAAGCAAAAGCTTCGATGAACCCTTCCACAGAATCTTCTTGCTTCAGCAACTTCAACTCCTCATAAGGATTATCCAAATAGTCACCCCTGAACCTAACTATCAAGGCCTGTTTCAGATTATCCCATGTAGGTTCCTCCTCCTCACGCCACAAATTGAACAATGAATCATGGTTCCCTACATGCAAATTTTAGCCAATTTTACTTTTACAGCCTCACATGTCCCATGCACATCAAAATAAGTATCCACTCTGCAAATTCAACCGGCAGGATCAACACCATTGAAGGTAGGGAGTTCAACCTTTTCTTGACAAAAGAACGAAACTCAACGTCAATATTTCCTCCTCCTACACTCTCATCATTCACATGTCCATTCCTCTCTCCGCGCGACTATGTATACAGCTGGTTTTTTGTCAACATAGCAGCATTCATCTTTTGTATCTCCCTCAACAATTCTTGTTGAGTGACGTTCATCTCCCTTTGATCCAAAAGCGTCTTTTGCAAGCTTCAATGATATGAACCCTAGATTCAAGAACCTCTACTCTCTCATTCATCCTCGTTGACATGGAGAAGTATCCGGCAGGTTGGACCAATTGTTAAGATTCAGAGATACAATCAAGATGAAGATTGAAGAAAAATGATGATTTTATTGATCACTAGAAAGAATTAGGATTACAAAAGAATCCCGCAAAGCTTACAGCTCCTGAACAAAGAATGAAATTCTCCTCAAAACAATTAACAGAACAAATAAGGCCTCAATCAAGAAACTAACTCTCTATTTATCAATTCTTTTAGCAATATTAAGAAACTAACTAACAGCTGACTCTTTTCTACACTTCTTCCTAAAATAAACCTTCAACACTTTAGATCTCTTATTGACATCAATTATATGTTCCTCCGCCACAGTTCTAACAAGTCCATTGATGCTTGTCCTCAATCTATCCTTGGTTGAGTGTTTCAAATCTAGTACGATGGTGTTTAGTAATGTTTGGCACTGTTCACCACCATTTATCTCTCCTCTTGCTGACCCATGACTTCCTCCGATCAAAATAAGGTCAAGGCCCTTGTTTTCACAAACCATGTTTGTAACTACTCCACTCTCTACTAAGCAATTAGATGATAAGAATTATGTCTTTTGGACCTCTAATATTCATCTTTGGCTTGTAAGACAGGATTATGATGAACATCTTACCAAAAAGGTGGATGATATAAGTTTGGAGAAACATTCTCAAAGAAAAAAGATTGATGCTCAGTTGTGTTTCATTATAAAATTAAAATCCACGCTTCATCAAACATTGAGGCCAGTCTTTTGCGCTCATGAGACTTGTGAAGCTGTTTGGACTCAAACAGAGCCCCTATGTACCAATAATACCCAACGTCTCTATGGGATTTTGCCTTGACTTCATGGCTATTATCATTGCTTGTCGAATCAATGACTCTATGGTCAATTATTTGAGAAAAGTGTGTAGTCTTGTTTGTGAGTTTAATGAGCTCTTACCCTGCAAAGGAAAGTGAGCAGCACCAACAATTTTTCATGTTATTAGCCTTATACTGTTTACTTGAGGGCTATTCTCACATCTGTGATTAGATTTTGGGTACCACCACACACTCCACCATGGACACTGCCTGGGCAACTCTTCATCTTGTCCCAGCAAAAACCCCTTCTAAGTTGTCATTCCTACTCCTGTTGATATCTCTGCCTCGGTCTTTCAGAGGGTGATCATGCCCAGTACTGTAAAATAAGTTCTCATCCTACATGTGATCACAATTGTAAGCTTGAGCATACCATTGACAAATGTTATGCTCTCCATCGATGCCCCCCTCGAATTACTCATGTTTTTAGAATACTTTGCAGGCTTCATCTGATCCTCTCCTGCCAACACCTCCACAAGCACCACCACCTCTCAGCCATAATGATTTTCTTTAAGGTGGTATAAGGAACGTCAAACTTTAGGTTCCACTATTTTGTTGCGCACACTAGTAATTTTTTTGGCTGGAATCTTTCATTTCTCTTCTCTTGGTCCTTGGGTACTTAATTCAGTGACTACCGATCACATAACTGGTAATCAATCCCCTTTTTCTACCCTTTCTACTTCTGGTTATTTATCTTCTATCACAATGGCTAATGGTTCTCAAAACTTATTTAAAACATAGGTACTGTTCATCCTTCGTCTTCCTTATTTGTTGACAATGTCCTTAATGTTCTTAGATCTTTTAATTTGCTTTCCATAAGTGGTGTATCACCTGGTCTCTTGAATGCATTGTCACCTTTACTAAGGATTTTTTTTTTTTTTTCTGTATGGCCAAAGTTGAGGGCGGATGATTAGATTGAATATTTAAGTCTCATGTTGGTTCAGTGGCAGAATCCCCTCTCTTGTTTCATGGTCAATAAGGATATTCAAATCTTGCCAAATTGCATCAAATGGGGCTAAGTTTATGAAAATTGTCATCTTTGTTTTGTGAGTCATGTAAATTAGATAAACATGTTCATAATTCTTTTCCAAGTCATACTAATATTAGGGTTTATTCTCTTCTGTTTTACTTCAATTCGATATTTGGGGTCCTATTAGTGTATACATAAGGATTTAAATATTTTGTTACATCTATTGACGACTTTTCTCGATGTACTTAGTTACATTTAATAAAAGAATATTGAGTTGTTTTCTATCTAACTCTTTTTATAATGAAATAAAAACTCAATTTGAAGATGAGGATATGTTAGCATAACTTATATTTGGTATATTTAAAATCTTAAGAATAACAGTCATCCCACTATCTGCTATTTTGCTATAGCGTTTATGGAGTCGATCATTATGCGCTGCTATCCAAGATTGACTACTATATTTAAGAGTGCTATAGCGTTTATGGAGTCGATCATTATGCGCTGCTATCCAAGATTGACTACTATATTTAAGAGTGTGTCTGTCGCTTGTGAAGACAAAGGTCATACTTGAATTGTAGGATATTGTAATACAGATTGGGCAAGTTCTCCAATTGACAAAAGGTCTACTTCAGAGTATATTGTTTTTATCAAAGATAACTTGGTTTCTTAGAAAAGCAAAACGCAAAGTGTGGTTTCAAAATCAAGTGCAGAAGCTGAATACTGCCAAGTCATGGCCTTAGCTACTTCTGAGCATATATGGCTCAAACAATTACTTCAAGATTTGAAGTTTGGAAAAACTTCATAGATCACATTTATGTGACTGCTTACACATTGCTCTAAATCTGGTGTTTCACAAGAGAATCAAACATAGTAAAGTAGATTGTCATTTTATCAGAGAAAAGATAATATATGAAGATATTACAACAAGATTTGTCAACTCTAATGACCAACTTGCAGATATTTTTACTAAGTCTTTAAGGGGACCACAAATTAGTTATATATGTAACAAACTTAGTGCATATGATATATATGCTCCAGTTTACGGGAGAGTGTTAAATAAATCGAGAATATTGATTTATTACTTAGATATGTTATTTGTGATGAATACATAACAGAGTAGTTTGTAATTATCAGATTTGGTTTTTGATCGAGGTTAATGGCGTCATGTGATCCATGTAGCTGACCTCACCTCATGAGATAAGGCTTGATTGTTGTTGTTATAAATAAAGTCGTCCACTATGTATAAAACACACGGATTTCTGTCAACATCTCTCAATTCCTTCTCTTTCAAATATACTTTTATAACATCCCTAACAATCTTCAACAAATCATTTAGTGAATAAGAGTAACACAAAATATACCTGCATCTTTTGAAACAACTGACAGCAACAGTTGTTGGCTAGATGGGGAATGGACAGAGTTGGGTGGCTGTGATAATGTGGTAGAAGCAATACCACTAAGAGCCAGTGACTGAACTCCAAGTCCCACACCAGATTGAGAAGTAACAGATGAGCTTTGAGAATTAAGCTACACATATAGTAGGATGTCATGTAAATTATATTTTTCTATTGTAGAAAACAAGTCCAAACCAGATTGAGAAGAACCAGATGAGCCTAAAAATCAAACTACACATAAAGCAGCATGTCATGCAAACTATATCTGTCCATTGTAGAAAGAAATCAGGTCATATTTTGAAGATATATTTCATCATTTAACAAAATATTTAAGTATCTAATAAAGTTAATGATAGGACAGTTATGTGTTTAGTAACTGTTTTACAGTTATGTTGTGTGTGTGTGTGTCTTGTGTACATGGCATGTCAATTTCAGAATCCAGAGCATGGATTGTATTATGAGTTTGAATGAGAGGGGGAACTCTCTGTTAATGCTTAGGCCTGTGCATTGTGAATGAGATTACTCTCTGTGAGGTACTTTGTCCTGTGTTTTTTTGCTGTCTGGTATCTGTAACTTTTTTCTGGTTTAATCCAGAAAATATATAATAAAACAACCTAGTTTCTGTTTCTGAGTCTAACAGCTAATCACAGAGAAGATTATATATGTAAGAAAAATAGAAGAGAAATAAGAACCTCCAGTTCATTAATACAATTTTAGAACATGTGAAATTAAGAGTATATCCAAGGAAAATTCTAACATAAAGCTTTGAGATTGGCGAAGCTCAATGGTAGACAATGTCAGTCAGTCAAGTGTTATGAAAAGAAAAATAATTAGTCAAGCAAAGATGAGTTTTGGATGGAAGTACATCCAAGAAAAGACAAGATTAGGAACAAATGTACTTGAAAAAACAGGGTCACCTACCGTGCCTTGACCAAGTGGATTTAATGAAAGATAGTTTGATTGAAATGGGTTGAGGAAGGCCAAAGAAAATTTTAGGAGAATCCATCGAATAAGACCTAGCTGGCTTACTCTAAATGGTTTATAGAAATTTTGGTTTTTCATAAATCCAATGGCATCAATTGATCCTTCTGGCCAACCCCAACTAATGGGATAAAGTTTGGTTGCAGTTGTTATTGTCAAAGTGTGTAGAAGAGGTCTGAAACAATTTAAGCTCCTTTTTTCCTAAATGTTTCAAAATTCAACCATAATGCGACATTATTAAGATGTAAATTTAAACCAATAAAAAAGGGGAGGGGGGGGCTGCCTTTTTTCTACAAAATTTCTTTACCAATCAGATAGAAAAAAAAATTAAAATCAACTTTTTTTACTTCTGACCATATCGAGAGGCATAAAGTGTATCCAGTGAACAACCCAAGGAGACATGATATGTCCAAAAAATATTATAAGATGCTCAGACAGCATATTTAGGCTAGATAACTCAAGGATCCCAGCCAATGTAAAAAGTCTTAGCAAATCTCTACTCAAAATCAGACGTTAATTCACTAAAGAAGTGTGAATTAGAAATGATATGTCCAAAACATATCAGAAGAAATTCATGGACAGCATATTTTGGCTAGATAACCCAAGGATTCCAGCCAATGCAAAAATCTGATCAAATCTCCAGTTCAAAATCAGGCACTAAAGAAGTGTGGATGAGATGTTAATTTTCTAACCATATAAAATATTTTTTGTAGGCAAAGGCGGAGAAGAGTGTCACAAATTGGGTTTTGGCCCACATTGAATCTTCAATATCTAAATTACAGGTAAAAGCAAAAAGAAATGGTACCTGCTGCAATAGAGGATTTTGTTGGTGGCCAGAATATGACTTATGATTTCCTACCGCAAGAGATGCCACATTAAGAAGGGAACTTTGCCCTTGCTGCTGCATTTGCTGCAACTTCTGCAAATACTTTTCTCTTTGATCAGGAGCTATTTCAGTTCTTGCGCGAAACTGACCCTGAAGTATAAAATGAATAGTCCCTTCAAAGGTATTAAACATATAAAATAAACACTACACAGCATATGTCCCATTCCATGAAATTCTTGATTTGCATGTCATTATTACTTGTCCTATGAAGAGTAATTATGTTTCTACTCCTATTCCTACATGCCACACAATGTGATCAGAACCTGGTATCTTTATTAGAAAGAATGGGGGAAGAACAACCCAATTTCCAGAATAGAATCCACATACACTGCAAAACTTCAAGGTTCAGCGCCTGCCATCAGTGCAGTTAGTATCATATGACTAGTGATACAATACATGTGACTCAAGCGAAAGCACTTTAAACCAATGACATTCAAGGTCCTTATAAGGTCTATCAAAACCTCATAAATGTTGTTGCAACTTGGAGTATAAGTGGTCTTCTTCACAACTTCAATGAACAACTGCCCCCAACTAACACTACTGCTAAAGAAGTAGAATGACAAAAAAAAATTATGTTGCTCACATTATATTTTACCTATTGATTATTAGTTTCGGGATCAGATTTTAAGATCTACTGTTCCTACTATGACCTTCACCTAGTCCACGTTGCTTCATGTTCCTGCCAAAACCACTGTTCCCACTATGATCGCCTCAAGAGTCATTTGGTGGCCAGAGGTGATATTTACATTTTTAGTTTGGATTGTGGTGACACATTCTCTTTGATGACCAAAATGACCTTTGTTTGTTTATACTTAGTCATGGCTGCAATCTGTCAATGACCCATTTATCAACTTAATATTGAGAATGTTTTTCTCAATGGTAATCTCATGAAAGAAGTCTATATGGAGCAACCTCTTGAATTTGTGCTCAAAAGAGCTTTCAGGAATAGTCTGTCATTTCTGGAAATCCATGTATTCAAACAATCTCCTAGGGTGTGGTTTAATAGATTCAGCACTATGATCAAAGAATTTGAAATGACCCAAAGCAGAACTCATCACTCAATTCTATATTGCCATTCAACCACAGGAACATTATTTGATTGTTTATGTCAATGACAATGTCATTACTAACAGTGATCACCACGGCATTACATACATAAAGCGGCATTTGTGTCATCCCTTTTAAACAAAAGATATTGGCAGACTTTCATACTTCGTGGAAATAGAGGTGGACACAATTCAAGAATAGTATTGTGATATCCCAGAGGAAGGGTGGGATGTTTAAAGAAAGAAGCTAGAAATATAAGAAAAAGAAAGAAAGAAATGTGTAAGATCAAAAATAGGGGACCTAGACATAAATATGACTTTGAAAAGTCATCAAAATTAAATTGAAACAAGAGATGTGATCCATAAGAAGCCTTTAATGTAACTTGACCCAAGGATTATATGGATTTAAGACTTTAGAGACAAAAGGACAAGCAAGAATTGACCAAAGGTACACTTAGGGAAGAATCTCATATAAATGGCTAGCAAAGTGATCATGAAATACACCAACAGTGTAGCATAAACATAAGACAAGGACCCATGGATGTGACCTATAGGATAGCCCTATCCTATCGTTAATTCAATTGAACAAAAATTTGGAATACATGACAAAGGAAGGAAGCTCGTGTACAGCAACTATAGGAAATGACAATAAATACATCAATAATTAAATAACTAGATGAGGTAAGCACCTACGGATGCGACTTAGTAAGATAAACCTAACCCCTGTTAGAACAAATTGAACAAAGAGTTTGAAGTCCATGGAGAATGAATAGCATGAACTAAGCATGCCATGTTATAAGTCAATTTCAAAGCATCTTCCTTAAATCTCCTAAAGCCTACACATTCTCCACTTCTAAAACCAACATTCCTTTGAAAAATTATCTTCCAACACCTAGGACCCACCCATTAACAGCTTATAAACTATACTACAACAAGTAAAGCCGCAAGAAAAGAAGGAAACAACGAACCAATAACACCAACTTATCCAAACAAAGAAAGAGAGAGGAGAAAATTATAAGTTAAAGAATTAAAATAAGAAATAATCAATGTTTGTGAGGACATCCCTTAACCTCATTATTTGAAGAGTTGTTAAATTCTTGTTACATGAGCACTTATTGTGCTCTATATAGTACTTGAGTTTATAAATTAAATTTGAATCATGCTTATTTATTATCTTTAATCCTTGTTTTAAATTGTCATTGTCCTTTGGTACTAATCTAAAGCACCATTAAGCTAAAAATATAGTAGAAAAATATTCATTCTACTTGCTCCTCTAAATCACTTAGTTAAATGTACTTAAATGAATGCAAATGTATTATTTTATCAAATTAATGATGATTATGGCATATTAGTCAAGAATTCAAAACATACTTTTGACTAAATTGAATTAATTTATTAACATTTAGTTAAATCAAGGCAAAATTGTTTTTTCATAAGCTTAGAAGCCAAGGACATGTGAAGATTCAAGAGAAAGAATAGTTTTGTGAAAAAATAAAATTAATAGTGACATTAGCAAATAAGTCAAAAGTTTAAAAGTTGATTTTTGATTAAAATTGACTTAGCATCATTTCATTGAAAATTACCGCTTTCAATTAAATACTAGATATGATGGTATACCAATAATATTCCTAAGGAACATTAGGCCTTGGCTTCAAAATACTGCTCAACTAGTGTTATGAATAGCTATAATAAACTTATTAGAATTAAGGTTAATGTTAGTATTATAATAACGGGCTTGGCCCATTAGGTTTACATATGTATCCTTATAAATATAAGGGTTCCTACACATTGTAGAACATCTATCTAATTCCAGCACACTAATCTATCTCTCTCTCTCTTAATTCTACAACTAGGATCAACCATCAATAGCTTGTTCTCCATCAGATGTTGAAATAATCTTTAAGATGTGATACCCATAGCTCCAAAATCAGAGTTGTGATAAATTGAGAGAACCACATCATAAAACTAGTCATTGCAAATGTAGAACCAAAAGACCTTATAAACCACACACTAGAATCCCATACTTCCAGTGTGGAACTCAAGTCTTATACCTTGGAATCAAATCCTACCATCAAATCAATAAAAACATTGGGAGATCCACAAAATAAAAAGCTAGTCATTGTACTTGAAAAGTGCAAGGCCATATAAATCTCCGAGTTCCAACTTCACACAATCTAGCTATGCACTAGCCCTCAAACTAGTTGTAGCCAAACACTAGACTGCTATTCTCACCACCAATGCCACTTGTTTGTAGCTGAGAAACATGATAAAATGCTTTGATACCAATTAATAGGAACTTGGTATCTTTACTAGAAAGAGGGGGAAGAACTCCCCAATCTACAAAATAGACACACATTGCAGAACTTTGAGGATCTGCACCTCCCAATGTCAAAAAGCCCTTATTTTCTCTCACAATAGTCACAAATGATAAGATTGATCTCTCTCACCCTCTCCTCTTGTCTATAGGCAGCATGCTTTATTTCTTCCCAAAATCTAGCCCAACAAACTCACTCACTTCCTCACTAATAGTCCCAATCCAACAATCTAACTACTAATGAGTAACTATCACAACAATGCATTTCTACACAACTAAAGTTATATAGCTTCGGAAACCAACTTACGATATACATACTCTAATTAAACTCATCAATAACAGAAAAAAGAAAATAAGGTAGCTACATTAAGTGACCTATTTGTAATGGTACAAAGCTATATCTGTGCACCCATGTAATTATTTTCCATGCAACTGAACTTATAAATGATACACAATTATGAGCCAACATACATATTTGTCCACAAAATACATTAATGCATATATAAATTATCATAAGCATAGAGGTCAAATGAATGGAAGATCACCAAAAGCCATTAAATCAAGCATGAAAGATATTTTCTGTATTTTTATATTTGATAATCAAATAATCTATTAAGCCTTTGTTTGTTGGGAGTGAATATGTGGGGAAATAGGAAGGAAAACTACATTTTCCACCATCCGGTTGAGAAAATATAGATGAAAAAATCACTCAAGTTCGGGACCACAATACTCAATTTTCTCTCATCAAGTAGGAAGAAATGGAGAGAAAAAGAAAATTAGTTCAAATGAGAAATTTATCCTTCAACCTACCTACCTACTTCCTACTATTATATTAAAAAGATAAAAAGGTCATTCAGCATCGTACATTTTCTTTCCTCTCATTTTCCTTCCCAACAAAAGAAGATAAAACTAGGGGCTGTTTGGTTTGAAAAAAAAAAAAATTGCAAACATGCAACCTTATTTTTTTTTTTTTGTTTTCAAAGATTTGTATAGGAAATAATGAAAAAAAAAATTCATTTTCACTGTTTCTTATATAAACCTTTTCAAATACAAAATAAAACAAAAATGAGGTAGCAATTTTGTAATTTGAAGTGAAAATAAGGAAAACAAAAAAAAACAAATAAAATTATCCTCAAAGTAAATAGGTCCTTAACTTTTTTCTTTATTTTATCCTCTCTTTGTTTTCCTTCATTCCATTATCTTCTCTATCACTCTCCATATCCAAATAAAGCATATATAGCAAAAGAAAATTTAAGAAAAAAAAATTTACTGCATCATTCTGACTCTGGAAGGGGCTTCCAGGTCTCCATTGGATGCCAGGAACAGCAGAAGGAGAGAAAACTCTCCCAGACACACTTGCAGCTTCATTGACATTACTAGTATCAACTGAGGTAGTTGTAGTTCCATCATTGGCCCTTGCAACTTGAGGTGTGATCATTCTATTACTTAAGGGGGACACAAGAGGCTGCACCATGCCATTGCTTCCATGTCTATCGTCAGCTACCAATATGTTTCTCTTAGTTATTTCAGAGGCTGAAGGGACCGAACCAAGGGCACCATTGCTGGAAACCATGTTACCAGAAACAAGAGAGATGTTGCTTGTCGCTTGATTTGATAGGCTGTTTCTACTAATGTTCCTGACAAGTGCAGCATCAGAAAGCGATGGAGATGGTCTTCGGCCAGGGAAACCATTAATCTCTTCCTCCTTCATAGTAGTAGACTGATTTACAGGAGATGAAGCGTTTATAGCACTACTAGTCTCCAAGGGACTCCGAACAGTATTTGAACCAGGAATGACTGATGCAACACCAGGTGCACTCGACAAGTTTGGCACTGGAACATTCATAGGAACAGGGGTAGCAAAATTCCCAGCTGGTGTTGTAGCAGAGCTAATTATACTAATTTTAGGTGGTGGAGTTCTTGCACCAACATCAGAATTGCTATCCTGGGAAGTTGTATCATCAGCTTGCTCCTGGACAGAAGAACCTTGATGATTAGAAGTCAGACTTTCCCAAAAAAGGACCATACCTCATGTTAATCTACTAAAATGTCATCTAATAAAGATGTATGCTTTTTTTCATTACTGGTAGTCTGGTATTTCATCATCATGGTGGAACTACAATCACGATTCCATCATGCATTGTTAATCTTAAAAAGGTTCCATTAGAGTAATACGTCATCAGAAAAATTGTTACACTTGGATTAAATTAACTAGTGCTTTATGTAACATAAATATTGCTAAACTCAGGTTAAAACAACTATTTTGACTACTTTAATTCATACATATATGTTCTTTTAATTATTTATCTTAAGCTATTTAGTAATTTGTTAGGAAATCTTGCGAAGTGATACCACTAGCAATAGGTTATCTCATTTGACAATTCAAAATCATAATTCCCATAAAGCATAAACTAGGACTTCAATACACATATCTTTATCCATAATTAATCAGAATCTATCCAATATTATTTATATTATTGAAAGTCATAAAAGAACAATTAGAGGGGCCTCCTGTACATAACAAAATATCTCTTGCAGGCACATTATTTTGGAAAATAAACTGCATGAATGTATAAATATCACACTCAAGATTTCTTATGAAAACCCGTACTTTTAAATAATATTGACTTGTGAAAAAAACATACAGATGTTTGTGATGCTGATGCTGATGTTGGTGCTGCCACAGAAGACTTTAAGCTAAGCACAGGTGCCACCTGCCAAAAATGAAAATAAATTCAGAAGTTTATATATAGAAAAATTCTAAGATACTAACAAAAAGGGAATGTCATCAACAAATATGGATTGCAACAAGTAGATTGGAAGCTGCAGACTGAGTCAAAAATGCCTAGCAAAAAAATGCATAAACTTAGTTTTTGAAACAAAACATTGTTGCAACCATTCATAGCTATCAATCCCTAATAGCGGTGGAGGGCACCCAATACCATGGTAGTTAAGATTGGGAGTTGAAACGTAAAATCAGAAATTGCAGCAGGGTAAAATCACTGTGAATTCGCGATTTGGATCGTAAAATTGGTAAAATAGTGATTTGCTTCCAATTTCAGCAAAACATGGGTAGGATTTGGATCTCAGCCCAAATCCTTTATAACCCAAGCCCGACCCAACTTATATTTAGGCGTGAATGAAGTCCGGCGTTCCTAAATCCTTCTTTTCTTCTTCGTCGAACCCTAGACCTCCTCAGAGCGACTTGGTGTGCAGCTTTTAATTGTGAGTTCTTCACTATCTCTCTGTGGTTTTGTCTGCCCCAATCCTACTTATTAGCTATTTTCTTCTCATCTTGCTCTGTTTTCTTTGCAGAACCCTAGACCAACAAGGTGGCAATGTGGCAATGACTTGCTAGTTGTTTTCTTCTTACTTTGTTTTTCTTTATCTTGTTCAAAAATGGCTTCAAACATGGCTGGTGGTTAAAGCTTAGGTAGTGGTGGTTCTAGGTCACTCCCAACTACAATCGACAGCTCCAATGCTGTGGGCTCTTCAAGTGTGCCTCATAGGTTAGCTCCCGAGAATGCTCGTGGAAACAACGATGATGTGGGATGGAAATATGGATTTTCAATTCAAGGAACTGTGAAGGTTCAGTGCAAATTTTGCCAAAAAGTACTAAATGGAGGTAGTTATCACTTAAAGCACCACTTGGCTAAAACAAATCAAAATGATGAACCTTGCAAATCTGTTCCTGAAGATGTGAATAAGGAGATGATGGAGACTGTTATTTACTTGATAAGAAAAAACAGCTAACAAAGATGACTCTTTAGAAATTGGTAAAAAGAGAAAAGCCACTAAAGGTGGTGAAGTTGAGAGTGCTAGGATCATAGAGTTTTGCAAGAAAGGGGTGTTGGTCCTTGTAATTTATCAAAAACATGATTAGGCTATTTTGGGTTGTTAATTTGTTACATTATGGATTATGCTTGATAGCTTCTTATGGTATATGGATTATTCAAGTACTTTCAGTGATTTAATGTTTTATTTTTAATTTCAGCAATTTTATATGCAGAATATGAACTTATATGCATGTATATATGATTTTGTAAAATCTTACGATTCAATTTACGATTTTACGATTTTTACTATAGCACATGTATAACTACCTTGCCCAATACCACAAATCACTATAGCAGTATGGTGGATAGCAAGATGATCGTTATTCTGAGGTTTATAAACAAGTTAAATGATTTATGTTGCGGATATATAAATGCTCTAAAAAATTCCTATATCTAAAGATGTATTCATAATTAATAATCAAAGTCATAATTTCAAAATGACTAACACACGAGCAAATAGTACCACCAGCACGAAGCAACAAAAAAGTGCACAACACAAAAGTGCAACATAATTCATATATCCCAATCCTGTAAGACAAACCTAACGACAGTTTTGCATTAACATATTTTATAACTTTGTAGGAGAGCTTCTGTTAAAAAGAAAGGCAATTATTAATCTAAAAATTTCAAAGGCATACACATTCAAATACATTAGTAGGTGTTAAGTGTGTGTAGCTTTGCATCTCTCCATTTTTACAATAGAGCAATTTACACTAAACAAATACCTTAGCAAGACCAGGGGAAATTGTAACAATATCTTCAAGTGACTCCACTTTGTCTAAAGGTAATGAACTATATAGCTCATCAACATCACTGAATTCTTCAAAATCGTCCTGTAAAATAAAGAAAATAGAAAAAGATAAAACTAATACCAATTCATATATTTTGCATATTATCAAACTTTAAGACTCTTTCTGGAAGGACTTTACAAAGAGTAAATATATGCATTTACTCAGTGATTGTGTTTGATTTTTTAAAAGCAGAATGGCAGTTGTACAAGTTACAAAAGGCAAACCTGATTACGCTCTACATAGTCATCAAGGAAATCTTTGACATCATTAACCTGCTCAGGACTTAATTCATCATTATCCAGTAGCCTTAAGATAAATTCACATTTCTTTATATGAGCCTTGTGCCGAGTAATAGATGTCTCTAGATGTGTCTGACAAACAAAAAGAAGACATTTGAATAGCCATGACTTAGAAAAACCAACAGTCCCATAAAATGTACTTCCTTTACTCCATACCAATCTGGGTGGCTTGCTCTTTCCTTTCTTAACAGAAAGCCCTTCAAGCTCAGCTTCAAAGTTTTCTATCTGAGATTCCAACTCCCCAACCTACTCAAACATTTAAAAGAATAACACTTTCCAGACAAAAAAATAAGTTTGCAATTAAAACTAATCAAACCTCTTCTAAATAATACATGAACACAGAGACTCCTCAATGTGAATCACAAGTGATGAAAACAGGCAGTAGACTTGTATAAACATTGTAGTTAGGAAAGGAAATTTTAAGAACCAATTTGAACTAAGAAATTTCCATCTGTGGAAATCACTCATAACCGTCAATGGTAAACCTGCACTACAAACTATATCATGTTGCAAGAACCATTAAGGCATACAAACTATTAATGCAACAACTAATAGGTATACTTCGATCACAACAAAGTAAAAATGAAATTTATTCATAGCAATTGATTTCATACCACATTGTTCAACCAATCCCTCGTCTCTGATTTAGCCTTTTCTCTAGGATCCTGTCACAAAAAACATTGAGAACAAGATACCCTTCAGCCATATCAGACACAAGCATAATCATAACACACCTACAAAAACCCAAAGGTCTAAGGCTCACAGTTTTAGGCTGTTGACCCAAGCCTTCTTTGGAAAATGCTTTGGTCTTTGTCTCCTTCTCACAAACTTTGAATCTTTCCATTTCACGCTCAATAAGCTTGCGTGCATCCACCAGAGCCTGCTCATACGAAGCACTAACCTGTGTCATGATATGTCAAAAAAGAGAAAACACTGTCAAAGTCAAAACCAAGAAGTTAAAAATCAAAATTTAGTATTAGAACGTTCCATACCACACACTATCACACAAGTCAATCCACGCAAAACCACCACCTAAGCATAACCAAACAGAAAAAATGACATAGAACAGACAGGACAAGACCAATGTTATCAATGGTGGGTCATGGTAGAAAGACAAAAAAAATGCCATAAAATTATGGTGGATGCCATGGAAAATTATGGCAGAAGCATGGCAGCGATAATAAAATAATATAATCTATATATTATATATACAAAAGATATATTAAAAATTGCAGAATGTAACCAAAAAAAATAAAATACTAATAATACCATTTGTGTGGCAGTTTGACAAAAAACAGCCACTGTTTTCTGCCATGGCCACCGTTTGACAACACTAGACAGGGCAATACATATATAAATGCCATTGGTCAAAAACAACAAAAAACAATTAGCTCCAACCAGAAAATACATCATTAAAAAGTAACTTTCCTAGAAACACATTCACTCACCCTAATTCCCAAGGTTCACTCAATAAAATTTACTGCTCATTTCAGCAACCAACACTCTACACACAACACAGAAATGAAAGGTAAGAAATACTTGATATGACCAAGAACCTATTTAAAAGAGCTTAAGGTAACAGCTTTTAACTCTCATAAACTCTTTTCAGCTTATTTCAATAAGCTTTTTGATATAGCTTATCAAAATAAGTTGCTTACAGCTTATCCCATCCCAATAAACTTCATCGTTAAATTTATAACATAAGTCATCATTTAAAAAGAACTTATTCAATAAGTGCTTAATCTTAAATAAGCTATGTATCCAAATGCAGCCCAAGAGTGCTTACCACTATGCCAAAAGTTTAAACTGCCAGCAAAGGTGCAACTCTTAACATATACCAACTTGCATCAAATGTGGGCCCTTCCCTCACAAGCCTATGGGCGTATCATTCCCTTCCTCTTATAGAAGGTTTGCGCATGAACATTAATATTATTGGAGACATGTCTAAACTAGAATTCTAACCCCCACTAGTTCTAATACCAAATGATATGACCAAGAGCGCTTACCACTATGCCAAAAACTTAAGCTGTCACAAAGACACACCTCTTGACATATAACACCATGTATCAGACGCAGGCCCTTCCTTATTTAAGCCATTGAGTATTGCTCACCAGGTTATACCCAAGTCACAAATCCAATATGCCCCTCTCGTGACCCTGTAGACATACTAATACTAAAACTGGGCTGAAGAAGTTAGTGACAAAAATCTATTGCTTCCAGTTTTATTTTGCTCCCAACAACACACAAGCACACAGTTAATTCTAGCATGACCCTCAAGAAAATTCAATAATTTCCAATGAAAAGTAAGTTGGGGAGATGCATTGTTCTTTTGAGACAAATATTTTAGGAGCTACTCTATGTCTCATATTATCACATAACCGTACAATATAATAACATTGCATGTATTTGGTTCATCTCGAGTTAAGAACGTTTTTTTTAGTGAATGCCGAAATTGTTCCCTAAAAGGAGAAACCACACAAGAAATTTCAATCCCTAAAAAGTAAATAACCATTTAGTCCCTCAAAATTACAAACAGAGAATTCACGTACTGAAAAAGAGAAAAAAATAACCAAAAGACTAAACAGACCCTAAGTTTTAAATCTTTTCACATATTCATACTCATTTTATCTTCTTTCAAGAAACCAAGGTGTCTATTTTCTCACTCATTTTTTCTTTTTCATTTTAATTCAAAAAAAATAAAGAAAAGGAAAGTACCTTCTTGTCTTTAATCTCACTGGACTGAATCCAAGTCTTAATCTGATCTCTATACCTCTGAAGCTTCTTAATCTCTTTCTTCAGGTCAGCTTCAAACTTCTCTTTCTGGTTCGCATTGTCCGTGTCGTAAACCTAAAACACAACCAATCAACCAAACCGATCAATTTGATCAATCTCTCTAGAAATCGGAATCGAAGAAGAAGAAGAAGAACCTTACCTTGTTCCAGATGCTATCAAAAACTTCGACGCCTTCTTGCACCTTTTTGAGAACTCGATCAATCTCTCCCTGAAGCTTTCGACTCGCTCCCATTTCCCTTAATATGATCGATTCTGCCTCTGCACATTCAATTAAATTCAACTTCGATCTATCTTCTACTACTTCCGTTCCGTCATCACCACTTCCTACAAAGGTCCTTATCAATAATATCTTTATTCTATTATCGATTACCACTCTTTGAAATAACAACAACAATCGCTATTTAAACATAAATTTTGATTTTAATTTTAATATAAATTAGTAAATATAAATAAATTAGCATTAAGAAAATATTATTTATTATTCTTCGTATTTTATTAAAAAAATAATTATACATGTAAGCAAAAACAAAATAATTATACAATATTTGTCGAGGCATTTGTTTTAGAAAGTCAGTTTTTTAGCAAAAATATAATAATAAGAATGTTATTTTCGGCTCATACATATAATATTTATGTTTGGTTAACGATTAAAATATTTTCAAATTATAATCGTATATAAATCAGTTGATAAAAATTATTCTATTTTACAAGATATTTTAAGTTCAAATTCAGAAAATACAACTTTATTAAAAAGTCAATTTAAAAAATTGTTTTTAATAGTTCTATCTAATTTAAACTTGAATAATAATGTAGGTAAAAAGATTTTTAAAATTAATTTTATAACCTCCTCTCCGAATTGTTCTACTTTTAGGGGCAGGTACGAGCATAAACTGGATTTGTTGAAAATAATTTAAATATATTTTAAATTTAAGTATATGAAATAGATTTTAAATCAAACTTTTATTTTTTCTAAACTTGATTTAAAATTGGTTTTACAATTTAAATTTGATTTAAAATCAATTTTAATTTAGTAAAATATAATATACATTATTTTTATATTATTATTGAATTATTATATTAAAATAACTAAATTTTATAATAATTAATGTAAAATCATATTTGTATATACTTTAAATTATTAATAATATAATTTTTTTTATATTCATATTGTATTAAACTAATAAATATTTTTTATAAAAAAACTAATAAATATTTGCATATATTATATTTTATATCATCTATCTATCACATAAATTAATTATATAGATTAAATTTTAAATTATTTACTTTATTATTTTTAAATTTTATTTAAATTAGTTTTAAATTTTGAATTTTATTTAAAATATTTTTTAAATTATATTTTTATTACAATTAATTTTAAATTCAATGTTTTAAGTTAAGTTAGTTTTAAATCTAATTTTATGTTAAATTAATTTTAAATTTAAGTTTTAAAGCAAAATTAATTTTTAAACATTTTGTAAATTTATTTTTAAATTAAAAGTAATTATACTTTGCATAAAATTAGTGTATTTTAAAATATTTTAGTAATTTTTATTTATTATATTATACTTATAGAAATTTTTATAAAATATTTATTATATTTTTAATAAATAAAATTAATGAAAAAAATTAATTAAAACCTGTAAAAATATTATGTTATAATATTTTAAAAAATTAAATATAAAAATAATAATAATTAATTTTAAAATATTTATTATATTTTATATCTTTAATGTAATAATTATATCTTATAAAATATTATAAGAAGTATGATTAATAAAATTATTAATCATAAAATATAGTCACAAAAAAAATTTATAAATTAATACAACACAAAAGTTTAATAAACAAAGTTTATTTACCAACTCTATACGAGAAGGTTTTAACGCAACCTATTGTAATTTACATCTTTTGAGTAACTTATGTTATAGGTTTTAAAGTTTAATTTTTTTTTTAAGTATTAATTTTTTATTAAAAATAAAATTAGAGTATAAGGGTATTCTAACTTATTATATCTCTAAAAAGAATTAATAATACATGTTAAAGGATTATTAATCCAATTCACATATATAACGAGCTTTTCAAATATTCTGCTGTAAGCCATTTCAAAAACAATATTTAATAGAATCAAGCATTTCACTAATATTTATCATACTGTTATTAAAGAAAATATTATTCCGTTAAAGCCAAATCTTAATACTATTGTACACCACACTATTACAATTCCCTTTCATTTCTTTTTGCCAAATTGAATTCCACACATACTTAGTAATGACTCATGCAAATTTTTAGGTAAGTATATACTGACACTAAATCATTCGAACACTATATACCACCGTCTCATAGAAATACCACAATGCAGAAAAATGTGTCATACATCATCATCTTTGATATCATAAAACTCCACAAGTTTCTAATGGAATCGTCAATTTACGTTTGGTCAAATTCTTCTGCACCGAAACTTGTAACATCCTCGTTTTTCTAAATAGTTAATTTGTTAATATAATTATAATTTAGATTATAATTCTTCAATTTTTTGAAAAAAAAATAAATAAAATAAAAATAAAAATAATTGCTCATTTATACCGGTTAAAATTGCTCTATGAAGATAAAAATAGCATTTTTAATTACGAAGAATTATTTTAAATAATAAAATTTATATTTTTAATTAGAAATAATATTTGGAGTGTAAAAATAATTATTTTGGTAATTATTGCTTATTTATAGATTTTGGTTAATACTGTTTTATGTGTTAACAGGAACTGTGTGATTAGTTTTTTTTCCTTTTTCTTTTTCTTTTTAAGTGATAACCAAGGAGATATTGATGTCAAAAATTATGTTATAATTATTTTAATTGTTTGGCATCAATTGTTTTTATTTTTGAGTTTTATTCATAATTATTTTATTTAATTACATTAAAATAGCAAAATAATTGATTATTATATTATTATTTCTTTACCTATTTGACTAAATTGACCACTTTCTTACATGAACCTTCTTCTTCTCCAAGTCCATAACCCCTTCTTCTCCCTTTCACCATTTTCATTTTCTTCCACTCATTTAAGCTTGTTTTAAGGTATGTTTTTAATATATATCCTTAATTAAGCTTAATTATTTGTTAATTATCATTTCATCCGATTAAAATTTTAATTTTTCCATGTTTTTTTGGCTGTCATGAACAGTAAAAATGGGTCTTACTTTGCTTCAAAATTATTGGTTTTAAACTTGCTTTCTTTTGTACTATATGTAGACTATGCATGGCTTATATTGTTTACGTAATTAGTTTTTTAAAAATGTGATTAAAAAGCACTAAACCCTCACAAGGGTTGGCTGCCATGTGGTTTTAGAGAAGGTGAAGTGAGTGTTTTTCACTTCCATTTTATTCCTTTTATATTAGTTAGATGATAGAAACTAATTTTGTGTTAATCGGACTTTTATAGCAAAAGTTAGAAAATTTCAATTTTTACATATACATATAAGAGTATAAAATTAGCATCTCCTTAGTATTAATTATGTTTAGGCATGATTAATTGATTAGGTTGATCGTTTCGAAGATTGGATTGTTCGAGTTTTTCTAAAGAATCAGAAAAAAAAAAATTCATCCATACCTTCATCAAAGAACATCCGTAAGGTAAGGGGTGGGATGATTTTATTTCAATAGGTGACATTAAGAACCATAAGGGAATAATTCTCTATTGTTCTAATCAAATAAAATGAATTTGGGTTGTTTTAGAGCTAACCCATAATTTTTAGAAGATTTTGTTATAGTACTGGACATGTATGAAAGGTTGCTTTAGACCAGGAAATTGATTGAACAAGGACTTTCCCTTATATGTAAGGTCCTTTGTGTATTTAAATTAATGTATTGGAATGATTTATGGTTGAAGTGTTGTATTGAATTATTTCTTTATAATTGGTTGAATTCTCATTATGTGTTTGTGTAGATATTCTTGTTGGTATGAATGCCATATAATGGTAAAGATTGGAAGTAATTTAGTTTTATGTGATGTGAGCATATAGATTGACATAATCTAAATGTCCATTCAGACTTGTTGGAGAGAAGAAAATATGTTTTTAAGGTATATATATATATATATATATATATATATATATAAATTATGTATTTTATATATAGTGCAAGTATCTTTTAACTTCTTTGAAAAATGGATTTAATAAAAATAAATAAATAAATTATATTACTGAGAAAGTAGTATTGGATATTTGGAAGGCTTGAATCATTTTTTTTTAAAAATGATTAAGTCCTCAATTTTTAAGCATGAAAACATATTTAAAGAAAGAGGGGAAGATACGATTTTCTTGAATTTTGAGGTGATGGAGGTGGAATTTAATGAATTAGAAGTATTCTGGATTTTTTTCTGGTTGTTTTACAAGAAGAAGAAAATTTTGGAATATATGATTTACAGAGGAGACTCTGTCGAATTTCATTAAGAAAAGAAAAAGTTAAGGATTATACTTAAAAAAAAAATTAAAATTTTCTCTAATTAAATTAATTATGAATGAAGACATGCATCATGAACATGTGATAGTGTGATGAGTGGACAGGGAAGTATAAGAAATCTAGGGGCGGCTCTAGGGTAGTC